TTTTGCTTGGTTATCAAATATCCGAAAATCATTAAGCAATTTAATCAATGGCATAAGGTAATTTTAAGATATTATTTAAATGGTTGGCCAGGAACATGACCTTTTTGATAATAACAATTTAAAACAGATTTATCAAAAACGAGGTACCACATTATTTAGCACATAAATTTTAAGACTAGGTCAAGGTCCCATTTGTTTCTGCGAACTAAAAACGTAGATAACATTTAAATGAGCCATAAACACAAATATTTTTCCTGAGAAAAATATTGAGTTATAACTCTTTCCAGGAAACTGGAAATATTAAGTAGACAATGAAGAGTAAAGCGCTCGTGGCCTCTTAAGATGGACTTACGCTATCTTGCCGAGTGAGTCAGTCAGAAAGCAACTCTTTTTGAAGATAGCCGACCAGCTTGACCCCAAGTTGGCCTAACAAAAGACTGGCCCAAACAGTTCACTGACAGTAGTCGACCGAGGGGCATCCCCAAAAGACAGAAATAAGGAAAATGACCAGGAAAAGATGATGAAGGAGGGGGGATTCAGAAACCAGAAGCGGCGCGTGTTGGCCAACTCCCCGAACCTTTTCGCCCCGCCTTTGTTTAATTTATGTTTGCCTAGTCTCTGTCTTTACGCTTTGAATGGCAGTGAAATATAATTCGCTAATGTGGTCATAAAACGAGCAAAAAATATATAGCGAAACGGGAGAAGGAAAGACAATAGATGCGAACAGCCATTGAGCGCATATTGCTTGACTTAGCCGCACGTGTGGCTCGTTTATTGGAGGAATATATATAAACATGTATATTGGGGATGGGGGGAGCGTCGGTTTACTTTTCCTGAAACGAGCATTTCCCCACACAAATAATGGCTCGTGCACTCATTTACGGTTACATTTATATTTATTAAGGCGTCGTGTGTCTCTCGTTATTGGGTCAGCAATTAGCCATAAGGCCCGGTAACGAAGCAAAGTGATTGCCAGCGAGTTGGCCAAGTGCAAACAGCTGTTGTAGGGCAGTTCAAGAGGGCACTTCGGTTGATAGCTACCACACGCTGCTCGAAAAATGAAGCTAACAAAAGTAGATAGTTCTTTAAAATACAAAACCTAATTTTTGTGTGGTTAGGTAAATAAAATAATAAATCGGTAATTATAGGGAAATTCTGTTTTCAGGTTTTTAAAGAACGCTTTTTAAATTTTTTTTTATTTACTTTAAATTAATTATTTTGTATTCCATGTAGAGAACTATAAATCGTGTGAAAACCCATCCATCACTCTGTCCTGTTAAACTTGGGTTGGGGGCTTATTATAACTGTCTGTCATTTTAACAACTGAACAGCGGAAATACTAGAGTTATGTCACCTAATGGTAATCATGGGAAATTCCGTTGCTAACCAAATAAATTCGGTAACCATTGCGTATACGTAATTGCTGAATAAATTTCAAGGGACTTAGTCATACGCGCATGGGTGTTTTAGAGTCTACACCCCGCAGAATCCCAACCAAACAGTTTGTTCTATTAATAAACATTAAGTTCCTACCGGAAACGGTTAATTTATGCCATGGGATTTGCATAAATCTCAATGGATCCCACAGCGTGATCCCCTTAATAAGCCATTAGCCGAATTAATTATACCATAGGAAATTAGGCAATTTTTTATTGTTATATCTGCGTCTCGTGTTTCACATTTGGCATTCATGGGCACCCACAGAAGCCGTTAGTATTTTCAGATGTTACACTTTAAAATAATGCCCCCCACACACAGGGCCAGGCGCAAATTGCCGCAAACGTGCGACCAAAACAACACAGACAGATACCCGAATGACATGACCAAAAGCCAAGCGAAAAAGAGAATTAATTTTGTAGTTGCCTTGCCTGCATAAATTAAAACCGACAAAATATAAAAAAAAAATAGAAAACAGAAAACACACACAAAAACAAAGAAGACTTTGTCATTCAATCGCAGTCGACTGCGGTAGCCCACTTGGCGATAATTTCACAGACACGAGCCCCACGACTAGACAAGGGCGAAAAAAGCCAACGGAAAGCAATAAACTTGGGATCCACACGGATAAAAATGGGATTACTCCAAATTGACTGAAACTAATTTTTCAGATAATTTGCTGTACTGTTTAATGATTTTAAATAACTATATAGTATGTCTGATATTGTCAACGCAATCGTTATCATTAGAATCAAACCAATTAGGAAAAGTAATGTAGTGAAACAATAATAAATTAAATTAAATTAATTGTAATCAGTAAAAAAATTCAAAAAAACTTAAAAGTGCGAAGTTTTTATAATGTATTATTTTATATTGAGGTAAAAAAATAAACACGGATTGATTTATATACTTAGATCCATATTGATAAGATCATAAACTAAAAATCTTCCACAAATAAATGTTAAATTTAAAACTGACACAATTTTTGCCAGTTTTTAAATTTTAGTTCTTATATTCGGCATTTATTTTTTCCAAATTTATTTATTTTGAATCGTATGGCCTATTTTCTCGCAGTGCATTCGTTCTAGTGTGAGGGAGAGAGATAAAAGCCGCTCTCCTGTTAATCTAAAACACAAGCCATGAGAGAGCGGCACAAAAACAATGGACACACACACGGCACACAAGCACACACACACCAGTACACGAAGGAAAGCTCACATGCCGTTAATGAACTTTTATGCTATAGCCCTATCTCCCTCCCTCCCGCACGCCCAGTGGCCTAGAGAAAACGCTCCAGTGTGAGTGAGTGTGAGTGAGTGTGAGTGTTGCTCTTGTTCTTCTTCTTTTTTTGCTGCTATTATTTATTATTTTTTTGTGTATATTTTTCTTTTTTTTATTGAATTAACGACGCACGTGTTGCGCCGTCCAAGCTGCGCGCGCTCTCTTTTCTCCGCATTTGGGGCCAAAGCGGACGATCCGCATATCAGCTTCGTATATTTTTGTTGCTGTTTTTTTTTTCTACTTTGCTCTGCCCGTGTTGTTGTTTGTTTATATTTATACATATCGGATGGGGCTCATATTTTTTTCCCATTTTTTTACTGCTTTTGTTTTTTGTTGTAATGCGGAACGCGCGCGTTCGAGCAAAAATGATAAATCTACGATTATGGGCGTCATGGGGTGTCATGAATGGAGCGGCCTCCCGAACACGCGCAAGAGTTACCTATCATAGATATAGATATAGAAATGGTCTGGTCGGTACCTGTTTAATGTCCACGTAGGCCTATGGCCACTTCCTGTTGAATTTAGACCCGAAATTTATCGGGACATTAAGGGTCAATAAACTATATATTAAAATAAATATAAAAAATAAATAAAATATTAAGTATAAAGAATTTTTTGCAGTCACAAGAAATCTTTAGGAAAAATATATTAATACATTTAGTAAATATAAAAACTATTTTGAGGTATTTGTTTTTACAGTTAAAGATTTAATTTATGTATTATGTATTTTTTGAGGTTTCTTAATCCTTTAAATCGATATACTTAAATGTGCTGAAACATTTGGGAAATACACAATGAATGCGACCAAAAAAGACGCAAAATTTAATTTTTCTATAGCAGAGCTTATAATAAGTACTTAAGCTTACTAAGCCACTCAAACATACAGCTAGTGCTAAAAATAGCTGTCTCAGTAATCGCATTAAATGATATTTTTATGTGCTGATTGACAGTTTTATGTGAAGAAGCCTTGAATTATTTTAAAAATAATTTACATTAAATTCTACTCGAAAGAAAGATACCCATTTCAGCCTTCGTCTTGTCCCGTCGAAAAAAAAATCTTAGTTAAACAAATGCATTTCACAGTAAGTAAATAAATAAATAAACAAACAGCTGTCAATTGTGGAAGTCACAGCTTGATTCACTTTAGCTGAGCCATCGCTTCTTTTTAGCACGCCGTAAAATGGCAGCTGCAAAAGCTGGCCCAGAAAAATCCCCCAACTTGTCTATTCTTTATAGTCGACAAGACAAAGGTCGGTGTTTACTTTGTGTTCATTTTAAGAATATTTCACACGCTTAGACTTTCGGGTTTATGGCTCGAGTGAAACCAAAAAGTATTTAAGTAAAGGAAGGAAGTACTTTTATATCTTAGTTCATGGAATTTGCCACTGAAGAAATAAATGAAGGGCTAACACACATTAAAGTTTTGTTTTGTTTAGCTAAGGCTTTTTTTGTGGCTAAATTTAAGTGCGGCTCGAAATATATGTAGACTTGGAAATCCCAGAAGCCAAGGGTGTATAAACAATGTTAAAGTCTGAAACTTTTTTCAAACTTTATGCTTTTTAGCTATTCCGGGGGGATTTTGAAGAAAAGTTTATTACATTTTTCCAGACATAATAAAATGGGTTATACATTTATTTGAAAATAATATAAACCTATTTTATGATTTCCATAAAAAAACAAAAAGTTACATTTAGGGAAAAATTCTCCTTTTGAATATTACAAAAAATTTAAATAAATCAGCAAGTTAAAAAAAAATCTTGTAGGAAACAGCATTTTTAATTTTTTTTCGGGGAAGTATTTAACATTTCTTGGTTTTCTTATTTTCATTTAATGCATATTTCATCATTTCTTTAGGCTTGTACTTTAAAAGTCACATTTAGTGCGCTTAAGAAATCAATATTGCGCATACGCCATGTGACCCCGCTGTAATGCAGTTGCAAGCGCAGCCCAGAGTCGCCGAAACGAAAGGCCAAAGGCCATGGTCTGAGTCATGTGATAAGGCCCACGAATCCTGACCTAAATTCGTCCTTCAGAAGGTGAGGCACAGAGCACGAGAAAAAATCTGATGGAGGGGGCGGGCATACAAAAACACAGAGAAACGGGAGGACAGCCTCTCTAGTTTGGAGCAGGAGAGCTTTCAGCATCGGAAGTCGGCTGTCAAGTGCATTTTCCTCCTCCATGTTTTTGTTGTATTTATTATTATTTCGCGCCGCACGTGTGGCACACACAAATGCTAATGCTAATGCCGGGAGATTTATGGGCAACCTTTTCGGCCGACTTACCCGGTCTTTGCGGGAATGATGTTCCTGCGTTGTCGTCGTCTTGTTTCTTCCGCTCTAGATTCCCTTAATTTAATGCACCCTCATCGGGAATAATGAACATTATCTTTTTTACTTTTCTTATTTTATTTTGATTTTTTTTTTAATTTGTTTTCACACGCCTTTAATCTATTCTAGGTGGGGGAATGGCGGAACGGGACGTGTGTGTGCAAATTCGCAGACGCCAATGGCAACACGCGCGCCAAACAAAACTTTCGCTTTCGTTGCGCGTGGGGCTGTCGCACCACCACACTGACACACTCACTCACACACACAGTGGCACACACGCGCTGGCAAACAACAAACACGGATATGCGAATACGCGAATGCTCGACTCTATACGACTGCAAAATACGTAAACGCTCGTGTTCAGCGCGAAAACTCAAAGCTCTCGTATGTTTTAGCTTTTCCAGTTTTTTCCCGAGAGTTGCGAACACCTCGACCGCCCAACGCTGAATGAACGTGGTCCGTCCAACGAGCAACGTTTTAATGGCAGCTCAGCCGGCCGTCGCTGTACACCCAACAAAAGTGGCGAAATTAATTAAGGGATATATTAATACAATTTTAAAAAATGTTCACAAACTTTAATTTAACAAAATATGAAAATACGTACAGAAATCATAGGAAAATGTAATTAAAAAATTGTATTTTTATTTAATATTCTATTTAGCATTTATTTTCTTTTAAGCTTTATATCCTAACATATTTATTTTTAATTTTTTGAATGTCAATTTTACTTTTTATTAGCTTTAAAAAATACATCAACCTTTAATATAAATTTACAAAATACATTAATTCTATATGCTTACTTCTATATCTTAACAAATTTTTGAAAAAGTTAGTAATGTAAGATTAATATTTCAAAATTTAAAAATATTCAAATATGGTGAAATATATTTTATATATGGTAAATATATATTTATTTCATTAGTTTTCGGCCTTTAACTGTACTTATAGCTTTATTAAATTATTCCACGTCTCTGCTGATTAGTCACTAATTAAAAATTTGGACTTTTGCCCGAAAATTAATCTTTAAAGCACTATCGCTGACGATTGCCAGACGAATTATTTATTCGCAATCACTCATGCTCAAGCATCTATCAAAATAAAACTATTTTTAGGAACCGTTGAAGAACTATTGACACACATTCCGCTTAAAAAGCCGCCAACGCATCTCAAGCAATCGAAAAATGTTTCAGCAACATTGTTGGGGCACACTGCCAGAAAATGGGGAACCCCCGGGGGTGGTTTTTGTGTTTGGCTTGGGTTTGTTTTGGTCGTGCCTTTCTGGTTGCCTAAATCCGGACCCTCGGGCCTCTCCTCCAACACCCCCACCACCTCGCACTTTCTCCGCCCCAATGGAAGGCAATTTTGTCGCACGTGTCGGAAATTTTGTTACGGCCGATTGCTTTTGCTTCCTCTCCTTCTGCGCTGCCTGTATTTTCAATGAGTTGTATTCGCGCTGACGGGTTGATGTACAGTGAGTACATTAATATTCGGTTTTTTTCAACTTAACGTGAATAAAAGTTTGAAACTAATAAAAAAAAAATCAAAAATGCAGAAATAAGCTTTTTATTACTTTCATGATATATATATGTTATTATTTTTTAAATTTAATGGAAAAACTATAATAAGAAAAGATATTTACATTAATATTCGGTTTTTTTGTACTATTAAATTCAAAAAATATTTAAAGTCTAAATTTGACATTTGAAATGCTAGCATTATTGTTATGGTATCGTTTAAATATTTTGGCATACTTAAATAAATTTTTTTTTTTAATAAAAAATTTGAAAGGTACAACAAATTCTCGTTTTTTTAAATTTATGGTTAAACCTTAGTCCTTTGACTAGAAAAGTTCAGCGCAATCCATTAATCACCAAAAAATGGATGGGTACAAAGCAGAGTCGCTCGAAAATTCTTTTTCCTTAAGTTTTGTATGGAATCAAGCAGCAAAACGCTTCTTCTGAGCGACTCTGTTTTGTACCCATCCATTTTTTTGTGTGATTAATGGATTGCGCTGAAACTGATTTCTAGTTAAGGACTAAGGGTTTAACCATAAATTAAAAAAAATCGAGAATTTGTTGTACCTTTGCAAACTTTTTTGACATTATCCCGTACATCCTTTTTTAGGTTGGAAAAACTGGCCCAGAATAGGCAAAAAAAAATTTTTAAGTATGCCAAAATATTTAAACGATACCATAGACAATAATGGCTAGCATTTCAAATGTCAAATTTAGTTTACTTCCTAAATAATTTTTTTGATTTTTAGTATAAAAGGAAAACCGAATATTAATGTGGCCCCAATATTCGGCTTTTCTTTCGTTTATGCATGTTTCTCAGTTAAATTTTAAAAAAGTAATAACATATATATATCTATGAAAAGGTAATAAAATAAGCTTTATTTCTGCATTATTTGATTTTTTGTTTTATTAGTTTCAAACTTTTTATTCACGTTTGAAGTTGACAAAAAAAAAAAACCGAATATTAATGCGACTCACTGTATATATGTAAATACAGGGGAAATTCTGAGACTATAACTCATAGAAAATGCAACCTTAAAGTTGTAAAAATAACATTTAAAATGCTTCAAATAAATGTTACATATTATAATGGTTGATAATAGATCAATATTTATGGTAAAACTATAATAACTTAAGGTATTTATAAAATGTTTTGATATTAAATTTATAAATTTAAATGTCTGAATTTTTAAATTAGATTTAAAGAGAAGTAAATTAAATAAATACATTTTTTTTAATAAATAAAAAAGGTATAAACTTTTGGTTCAAAAATGATTTACTACAAATAACTCGTTTACGAGATACTAACAAAATCCATTGACAAAAAATTGCATCGTCAATACTTTGTCTTTTCGAGGTTCTACTAAATAGTTTTGTATACAGAGTACATTTCTTGGTCGCTCGAGGACCCACTGTCTCAGAAGATATATTTTCGCCCGGCCTTTCGAGCCGTTTGTCGTAATGAAAAGGCAATTCAATGGCCTTTGGCTTTTGCTTCTGCCGCTGCCAGCGACACTAACGGTAAACGGGGATGACGATGGCGATGGCTGATTTCCTGTTTGGCTTTAATCGTCTGCTGCTGACGAAAATGGCAGCAAAATGCGAGCAGCGAACAATAAAAGAGAAATTAGCATAACACATGAGACGAGGCGACGGAGGTTCTTCCTCCCTTCCGGAACCTCATTCCCCCCTGGATTTTACCATGTTCTTTATGTGTGAATTTAATGGGCTCGTGGGTGTCTGGGCCAAAGTCGCTTTTCTATTTCAATTGCCGACACGTGTACGCCGCGTAAAACAAAAGGAACAAGACCATAAAGGCATCACGCACATGTCTGGCCATTTGCATTTTCAACCGCCCCCTAATTTCTCCACCCTTTTGGGGTGGGCAAAAGTGTAATTTAATTGCCATAAAGCGAAGGGGCGTGGCAATGCTTTTGCGTCAATGCAAGAGTTCTTCCATAAACACAATCGTAACATCAGGCTGTCCACCCTATCAAGACGCCCATAAAACAAGAGTGCGTAATCAAATCTAATGCCAAATTTAGACCAAAAGAACACGCGTCGGTCACACGGCATTGCCCACTGATTAGCCAGTTACGAAAAATAACCTGTAGCAAAATAATAATCTAAGCATTCAAAAACAAGGCCCATTCAAAGTCAAGACTATGCAGATTCCAGTAAAGTTCGGGGTGTTCTTATCAGTTATCACCTATGTTCATTGTTCTCTAATTTTAGAAATTGTTTTTAAAAATGGTTCCTTATTGTGTGATGAAGAAATTTGTATTGCCTACCTTCAAAGTGTTTTCTCTCGTATAAATAGGAAATGCGCAAAACACAATCTGCAATAAAAAAATTATGCCATTAAAATTTATTTTGAATTTATAACCACATTTTTGCACCTTTATTGTGTGAGATTTGGGTTATCTTATCGCCACATCATAGTTTAATTTAATTGTGTTTAATAACACCTTAAAAAATTCTAAGAGCCCAATAAAAGAAAATATTTAAAAATAGTATAAACAAAAATCTCCTTGAAACCCAAATAATCCCCAAAAAAAAAAAAAAAAAATTTTTTTTTAATATAAAAAAAAAAAAATTTTTTTTAAAAAAAAATTTTTATAAAAATTTTAAAATCTTTGCACCTAGTTATTCAACAAATAAAAGCAATATAAAGCTTATAATAAACCATAATTTCCTTGGCAGTCCAAGCTAAAACCACAGATTGAAATCCAACTCTGTGGTTGATAATCGTAACGTTAACACATTTATTTGTCAACACTTTTTGTTTAGTGTAAAGCGATCGTGCTTGCCAAAAATAATACGTATTTGTTTTGTTTTGTTTTCGACTCGGAATTTCTTAGGAACACAATTACTCGGCAGAAAAGCGGTTATCAATTGATACGGCGGTCAGCAGGGAGAAGTTTTATTTTTAGGAATATCAGAGAATCGAATTTGCAAATGCCTTGACCGCATGTGTGTGTGTGTGCAAGCGTGTCCACTGCGATTGTGTGAGTAACAATAACAATAACAGTAACATGCGCCGACCGCTCGGTACTCATGGTACTCGTTTTTTATTTTTTTGCCGGTTTTTTTTCCCGGCATGTGTCAGATTTTTTTGATACTCTTTTGAGGGGTATTTTAAATATCTGAAATGCTAAAAATAAAATTTTTAAATTATTAAAGTATTTTGTAAATTTTCAAATGTCTTTACAATAATATATAATTAATTTGTAAGGTATACTAGTTTTTAAAAACGGATTAATTAAATGATTAGCCCTTTATAAAAATGAATAAATAAAAGTTTAAGAGCAAGCAATTTTTAAATCCGTTTTATTTAAACTAAATTTATAGAATTATAACTTTATGTGTATAAAAAGTGTATTTATCTGTTGAAATTTCCCCTCCAAATATTTACGCTCTCTTATGCCTTTTATAATTATTCTTTTTCCTCCGCAGTTGACTTTTGTTGTTTCCCCCACACACACATGTCCAATGTCAAGGCCTCTTCCATACAACCGCGAAAACCCGCCAAAAATACGCCTGTGAGTTAATTTGCATACAAATATTTGCATTATATATAGCCGTTCTAAATGCAGGGTGGGAAATGGCGGGGAAATATATGGAAAGGCCAGCCACGCGCCTCGTTATGGGGAGCAGCAATATGCTGAAACACAATGCGTGTGGGCCAAAGCCGATGGCCCCCAGCGGATCAACATACAAAAATACATATAATACTCGCTGATACCGACAATTTGATAGCGTTTCGCCAGTGGAAAACAAAGTACGCACCTGCTGCAGAACACCTGGCAACAAAACCGGTTTTTCACAATTTTTTAAATATATTTTTATTCATATTTTTTTTAATTCAACGGAAATACTGTCAATTTATTAATTTTTGTAATTACAAAACAATGTGTAA